AAATGGAATGAAATACTAATACGTGATTGGACCTCAGAAAACAGTAAGCTCAGTGAAAGAAGCCAGACACAAAAAGACCACACTGCACAATTCCATTTATGTGAAAAATCCAGAATAGGCAAATCCAGAGACAAAGACTGTATTGGTAATTGCCAAGGGCTGAGGGAAGGAAGTATGGGGGGGGTAACTGCTTAATGAGTATGCAATTTCATTTTGGGGTGCTGGAAATGTTCAGGAATTAGACAATGGTGATTGTTGCACAACATAGCAGATATATTAAAAACTAAAAATTATACTAAAAACCAAAGTGAATTGTACACTTCAAAATGGTTCATTTATATTATATGAACTATACTTCAAAAACAAAACAAAACAAAACAACAGAATATACCTGAGCATAAATATTCCTGCCTTTGGTGTGCCCAGGTGTCTGCCTGGGTGAGTCCATTCTGCAGCATCCAGGATGTCATCTGAGCTCGGGCCACAGGCACAGTAATGCATGGGACAGAGGTACGTGTTTGTGTGTTTTAAACAATGCTTTTGTAATGAGAAAAGCAAGGTCTTCAAAAGTGTTAGGTAAAAATGAAATATACGGACTTCAAGCTGTATTACAAAGCTGTAGTCATCAAGACAGTATGGTACTGGCACAAAAACAGACACTCAGATCAATGGAACAGAATAGAGAACCCAGAAATGGACCCACAAACGGATGGCCAACTAATCTTTGACAAAGCAGGAAAGAATATCCAATGGAGTAAAATAGTCTCTTCAGCAAATGGTGCTGGGAAAACCGGACAGTGACATGCAGAAGAATGAACATGGACCACTTTCTTACACGATACAGACAAATAAACTCAAAATGGGTGAAAGACCTAAATATAAGACAGGAAGCCATCAAAATCCTAGAGAAGAAAACAGACAACAACCTTTGTGACCTCGGCCACAGGAACTTCTTACTCAACACGTCTCCAGGGGCAAGGGAAACAAAAGCAAAAATGAATTATTGGGACCTCATCAAAATAAAAAGCTTCTGCACAATGAAGGAAAAAGAGCAAAACGAAAAGGCAACCAACAGAATGGGAGAAGATATTTGCAAATGACATCAGATAAAGGGTTAGTATCCAAAATCTATAAAGAACTTATCAAACTCAACACCCAAAAAACAAATAATCTAGTGAAGAAATGGGCAAAAGACATGAATGGACACTTCTCCAAAGAAGATCCCCAGATGGCCAACTGACACATGAAAAAATGCTCAACATCACTCATCATCAGGGAAATACAAAGCAAAACCACAATGAGATACCATCTTACACCTGTCAGAATGGCTAGCATTAACAACTTAGGCAACAACAGATGTTGGCGAGGATGCGGAGAAAGAGGACCTCTTTTGCATTGTTGGTGGCAATGCAAGCTGGTGCAGCCACTCTGGAAAACAGTATGGAGGTCCCTCAGGAAATTGAAAATAGAACTCCCCTACAACCCAGCAATTGCACTACTATGTATTTATCCAATATATAGATGTGCTGTTTCAGAGGGGCACATGCACCCCAATGTTTATAGCAGCAACATCAACAATAGCCGAAGTATGGAAAGAGCCCAAATGTCCATCGACTGATGAATGGATAAAGATGTGGTATACATATACAATGGAGTATTATTTGGCAATCAAAAAGCATGAAATTTTGCCATTTGCAACTACGTGGATTAGTCAGTCAGAGAAAGACAAATATATGACTTCACTCATATGAGGACTTTAAGACACAAGACAGATGAACATAAGGGAAGGAAAGCAAAAATAATACAAAAACAGGGAGGGAGACATAACACAAGAGACTCTTAAATATGGAGAACAGAGGGTTACTGGAGAGATTGTGGGAGGGGAGGTGGGCTAAACGGGTCAGGGGCATTAAGGAATCTACTCCTGAAATCATTGCTGCACTATATGCCAAGTAACTTGAATGTAAATTTTAAAATTAAATTAAATGGTAAAAAACATACATACAGGATGCATGGTTAAATTTGAAAATAGATAGATAGATAGATAGATAGATAGATAGATAAAATAAAAACTTCTCCCACCTGGCCACGCTGACTGCACACCAAGCAGTTTTCACATCAGAGGCTGAACCTCTGCATTCTCCCCAGGCCCATAGTTTTCTTCAGCCAAGGGTCTCTTAATCCACTCATTTCAAGAAAACTCTTGATGGGAAGCTAGACACATCTGCTGTACGTGATGGGCCACAAGCTGGAGCACGGGTGATGCTTTATGGTGTCTCAAGCCCCCGGGCACTGCCAGCACTGATTTACAGGTGGGAAGCTGTGACTTGGCAAGGGCAGGACACAAGGTGTGCCCCGCTCTGTCTGACCATGGAGCCGTGTCCTCCACACTCAGTTTAGCCACTGGCTCCCACTGCCACGCACAGCATTCAGCTTCTGCCTCTTACAGGCATGGGCTTCGCCCTCTGGCGGGTGAATGCCAGTCACAGAGAGCTGTGAAAAGCAGGCCCATCCCACCCACCTCCCCAGCGTCCTCTGCACCCCCTCAGCCTCTGCCTCTAGGCACCAAAAGTTCTGCAGAGTTCCCTGGTCAGCCTCCCGAAGATCAGGCTGACCTTGCAGGGGGCCAACTACAGAATTGTGGGGGAAGCCATAAGCACGGATGTGGGGACTATCACTCCTCTCTTCCGCATACAGCTGTCACTCCAGAGCGAACTCTGGCCCCTCACAGAGAAGAGGGGGGCCCCACAGTGAGCGCCATGCAGCAGGAGGGAAGGCACTCAGGTTTCTATGTATCATCCCTGGGGAGGAATCAGGGCTTCCACAAATGTACATCCTGGAAGCCTCTTAGCCAGGATCCAGGTCTCTCTGACAGGACACCAGGTCACTGCATTCCAGGTGTGAAGGACAGTGAGTGGGACCTGGGTGCCTGCCATGCCTCCGCCCCAGGGCTTCCAGTAAATGCTTCCCTACAGGGTCATGGCTGCTGGCCTCATACCCTGGTTTGCACAATAGCTGGCAGCCAGAGCAGGTCCCCAGGCCAGCATTCTACATGACCTCCTGGAACCTTAGGGACCCAGAGCCCAAGGACCCACCAGGGTTGAAGAACACATCTGGGACAGCCTGGCCAACTGGAGACAGCCAATCAACAAGGAATCAGTGGACAGGCCACGGGATGGGTGGTCTGGAGTGTCAGGTCACTCAGGACTGGACAGATGCCACCAAAGAAAGCTGTAGTGGACTGAATGGTCCCCCCACCCCCAAAAGATACATCCATACCCTAACCCCCAGAACCTGTGAAAGTACCTTAGCTGGGAAAGGAGTTTTGCACATGTAGTTAAGGATCTTGAGATGAGATCATCCTGAACTCCCTGGGTGGGTCCTAAATCCAAAAATAAGAATCCTTATAAGAGAGAGACAGAGAGAAGAGAAGGCCAAGATTGAGTGTTGGCGCCATGACCCAAGTTACAAATGGACCCACCAGGTGCCAGGACAGTTGCATGGGATGGTTTCCACCTCAGAGCCTTAAGAGTAGAGCCCTGCTGACATCTTTATTTCAGACTTCTGGCCTCCAAAACTGAGAATAAATTTCTCTTGTTTTAAGCCACCTAATTGGTAATTATTTATTATAACAACCACAGAATATTAATATGGAGACTGGTCCAGCACCCTTCATAGGATGAGTGGGTTATGTGTGGGAGCTCTCCTGATCCGTGGTGATGCAGAGGATCAGGTAAGACTGGGTGGTCCCAGGAAAAAGGAGCAGCTCCCACCTAGCAGGAAGGCACCCCAAACTTACAGGATGTGGGGACCAAGGGTCAACCATTAGCCATGTACCCAGGGCATCTCCAGAACTGTCCGCAGACACCCTGCTCCCATAGGTATCTTCCTCTGTTCATCTACGGTGGCAGAAACCTGCCTCCCAGCACTAGACGGCAGATGGAAGCTGCCGGGAAGAGTCTCCCTGCCTCTCTTGCCCTGCTCCCAGTCTACACCTTTAAACTGCCCTACTTGTCCCTGGATGACCTTCCTTCCAGTCACAGACCTGAGAACTGAGGCTGAGCTCGGCAAGGGCTCCCGGGAGCCTGTCCCCAACCCTGCACTGCAGCTGTCCCAGTGACCTCCCATCTGCCCTGGATGAGCATGCCCTGCACCCTGAGTGCTCACCCAGTCTTTCTATGGGTTTCCGGGGCTGCTGGTGGATGGGACCAGGGCACAAAGCAGCCACCTTGGGGCAAACAGGGGGCTGAGAGATGAACGTGTCCCAGGCTGAGCGCTGAAGAACATGACAACAGCACACCGGGAAAAGGTTAGTGGGGGCTGACCTTCCTCAGAGTTTGGGCACAGCCCACTGAGGCTGATAACCATCTGCCCTATTCTACACTGTACACGCAGTGCATGACCCCATAGGGCAGGAGTGCCCCGAGTGCGGACAAAACTCCGTTCTGTGCCTGTCCTCCCCACGGTGCCTCCATCTTCCTGGCCCTGGCCCTGGAGGACACGGAAGTTTCAGCACTCTCAGGCCATCTACCGTGTCTGGGTCGGTGGATGCGGCGGAGCCAACCGGGGGATCCTTACAGGGCGTGAATGAACATGGAGGAAAATTAAATTAGTGAGGTGAAAAAGAACAAACGCGGGGTAGCGCCAGCACGTAGGAAAGAATGGCTTCTTAGGTCTCTTTGAGGAAGGGACACTTAACTGGGACTGAAGGAGGAAGAGGAGCCGTTGTGTCTGGGGACAAGTAAAGGGAAACGGCAAGCGCAAAGGCCGGGAGGCGGGACTGGAGGCAGTCGGGAGGCCGCGTCGGCCAAGCGGAGGATATGGGCTTGATTTTGAGAGTCGCGACGACGGGTCCTGGGCCTGGTGCCTCTCACGTGGGCCTCAGTCTCCACACTCAAGATTGGACACGCGGGAGCCAGAACTAGGGCCGCCCCGCCGCCGGAACTGAAGGCCGCACCTGCAGTGGCCAGCCCGGACCCTGGGCTAGCGGACCGGAAACGCGCGGCCTCTGCCGGGAGACCTACACGCCAGGGTGTGGAGGGAGCAGGGGGGGGCGGCCGCGCTGAGCGCCCGGAGGAGCCCGCCTCGCAAGCTGGGGTCGCGGGTACGCGCCGAACGCCACATACCAGCTTGGGGGGCGGCCCGCACGGGTGCCCTGGTCCCCGCCTCGCACGCAGCACGAAGCCTTCTTCCCTCTTCCTACGGGCCGTCACGGCACTGTGCCTCCGCCGGAGAGCCGGAGCCGTCGCGGGGGCTGTAGGGAAACGTAGTTCCGCCGCCCCGGCTGTCCAACCCCAGGACTCCCAGCTGTCATGGCAACCGCGGCCATCCACACCCAGTAGGCGAGGCGTGAACTTGCGTGGTCGCCCAGGAAACGGCGGCCCAGACAAACGAGCAGTGCCGCCTGTCCGAGCCAAGCGGGTGTTTGATAGCCCTTGCTTCCAGTCAGACTTCTGGGAGTTCAGGACCCAGAAACGATCTGCCATTTGCAGCCTCGCTAGGGGAACAAGAGTTGGGGGTGGGAGACACGTGGGTAGCTCTGAAAAGCCTGGGTGAGCGGGCTGTTCTCTAGACCAATGAAATCGCTGGAACCTCTGGGTCGGGGCTCGAGCATGTGTGTCAAAACTCCACAGTTGATTCTAATATGTGCCCCATTTGAGAACCCCCCAGCTCCAAAGGTGACGCTAACCCTGCTTGCTCAGGATGGGCTGGTGAGGCCTCCCCACCCATTTATGTCACCCTCATCTTCTGCTCGTTATCTCGTGGCTCCTGCCTCACATAAACACATCTAATTTTATTGAGCTGATTCACCTCATGTACGGCATCCAGCAACCCATCCTGACTGCCCCAACTTTCTGCTCATGCTGTGTGTGTGTGTCTCAGGGGGCACTGGGCCTATCCCACTCCCTTTCTTGATGCTCTGGGTATCTGGACATTGAATGCTCTGACTCAGGGTCTTCTGTCTCCCTGTCCAGGGACAAAGTCAGGGCTCGGTATGGAGTCCTGTGTGGAACCTACCATGCTGAAGGATGATGGATGGAGCAGTCACTGAGGAGCGCTTGGAGGGCCGCTGCCCATGTGCCTACCCAGGTACACACGAAGGACTTGCCCACAGTTGCCGCACACGAAGGAGTGCAACCGCTGGCTATGTGGGTGCCCCAATGAGTGAGCCGTTTCCACCAATGGCCGAAGGCCCCGTGCACTCCCTGGGGCTTCTCACTGCCGGGTCCTCTGGTGCTCGATAAGGATTACCAAAATTGGGACTTCTTGTGCCCATGGGTGCACTGTTGTTGAAGGAGCTTCAAGCTCTTGCAGAAAAGTTCTGCTCTGGCTCCACAGAAAGGGCCTCTCCTCAGAATGAATTATCCGGTTTCTGCCCACCACACAAAGGCCTTATTGCTGTTGAGGCAGGCATGAGTCTGCTTGCACTCAGGGGGTTGGAGCCCCAATTGAAGGTGGGTACTGGCATTGGGGGTGTGTCTAGGTGGGGGCTAGCTACAGGGTCTGTGGAAGATCTGCATGCCCTCCCCGTTTTTATAGAACTCTGCTGCCTAAGTGCACTGCCCCACACCCCAGGGCTAATGCTGGGAGCAGCACCAGGAAAGCACCTCACTACATTCACTGGTCACATACACAGAGCTTCAGGAGTGAGAACCCTGGTCATGCAGGTTACTAGAGAGGAAGTGGGAGTCCCACATGAGGAACCCAACTCCCAAATTGTCAGGTCACTGGACTGGGGCTTGTGCCAAAGTCACAGACCTGGGAGCCTGCATCCTAGGAAAATTGTCTGGTCACCTGCCACGCCCTTTACACAGACCCCTTACCTGAGAGGGGACAGCACATCTCTGTCCTCTGCCAGGAGTCTTGGCTCCACCTTGGGTCTCTCCTAAAGGCCCAATGCAGTTCACTGGAGTCAGTCTCAGGGACTCTTGTGAATTTTAGCTATGCAAGGTGACCATCCCCCCTGCTATTTCCCACCCCATGGGGTTTTATGGCAAGACCTCCCTCCTGCTCTCCAATGCACAGCAGGCCACTCTTTCAAGTTCTATACAGACATCCATTATCAAGTAACCACCAGCAGCCCAGGGCACAGGATCCAAACTGGCCTTGTCTGATTCTGTTCTCATTTCTATGCTGAAGGGGGAAACTGAGGTTTAGGGGGTGGTGCCTTCTCAGCTTCTGAGGAGAAAGGGGCACGGTTGGGAGGCTCCCTCTGGATCCTGCTGAGTGCAAGGGTAACTGGTGCCTCTGCCTCTCAGCTTCCCTGTTTTCCCCAGCTAGCACCTCCCCAGAAACCCTAACCACAGGACGAGATAGGGCCCCTAAGGATCACAAAGTATTCTGCCAGGACCAGGTAGGAGTTCACTTATCCCCTCCTCATCCCCCACAGACCCCAGTGGTAGGCTCAAGGCTGCTGTTTGCATGCACCAGGACAGGGAAGCGACAAGGGCCAGAGGCTGCAGGGGCTCGGGATATTGGTGCCCCCTTGCAGCCTGGGATCTAACCCCCTGCTTAGGCCACCTTCAGGGTATGTCCTTCTGAACAATGGCATGAACTGTGACTGGCAACAGTCCAAGGAGGCCCAGAGTCTCTGGTCTAAAACACTCCCGAAATTGGGGTAGGGGCAGGGGCAGAGCCCTTACAATCGGTAAACAAACAGCTACTGAGCCCATACTATAAGCTTGCTCACAGGGTGGTGGGCAAGTGGGTCACTGGAGATCTATCTATGCAGGACCCCTTCGGTCAAGTGGCTGGGCCCTTTGGGGTCTGGCTAGAGGGAACATCCCCTTGGAGGCAGAGACCTCATCAGGAGGTAAGGAGCTCCATGCTGCCCCATTATCCTCCCACCAGCCAGCTTGGGTGAGCAACCACAGTGTTCGCTGCCTCTGGCAAGCCAACCAAAACAAGTCCACGTCCCAGCTAGACTCCAGGGTCTAGGTTTAGGAGGCGACAAACAGGAGGGGGATGTGTAGGGCCGGCACAAGATCTTCGAGTTGGCCACATGGTCAAGGGTGGGGCACCCACTACCCCCGTGCCGACCCCCCTGCACCCGTCCATTGATCTCGCATCAACGCATGGCCGAGATGCATCAAACAGTGGGGTTTGCCCCCCAAGCCACCTGCTGGGCACAGCACCTGGTCCCACGTCCGGAGCTCCTCCCCTACCCTCAAGCTATGAAGAGGCGGCTGGAGCTGCAGGGGTCGAAGAGAAATGATGGGGGTACCCTGGCATGGGGTGAAGAGAGGTCAAACCGGAAAGGGTCTCCTCTGGGAGGCTCAGGCCCGCAGCAACCCCGGGCGTGCAAGCGTGCGGGAGGCCGACCTGGGAGAGGGGCTCGCGCATGCACGTGGGGGGGAGGGGCAGGACCAGCGGAGGGCAATCGTGACCACCAGGCTCACTCTTCCTTCCCGAGCCTACAGCGAGCGCGTGCCTGTGAAGCGACTGTAACCTGGACGAGGAGCGAGAGGAGTACCGAACTGGATGCCCTACTCAAAACCGGCGGCAGGTGGGGCGTGGAGCCCGCGGCGGAACACGGTGGAGAGCGCGAGCCTGACTTCCGCCGTCACTAGACATGGCGGCTTGGCCTCAGAGAATTCTCTGAGCTTGTGCAAGCCCCTCCTCCCCCCCCTCCCCAAGAAGGAAAGTACTGAAGGTTACAACAGCCGCCAGGCTCGCTTACGGGGCCGCTTCTGCAAGTGCGCGTGCGCAAAGGATTTACGGCTTTCCTTTGGCCCAGCAGGCGCCTTCACATTCTTGTTCCGGATTGGCCCTTGAACAAACCGTGTCATTTTGCGCACGCATTGTCCCAGCTGACCCGGAAGTTTTCACCTTAGTTAAAAGCGTCGGCCCGCGACTCGCGGTCTCTTCCTGTCTGGGCCAGGGCAGCGCGTGGTGCACGCCGAGCGATTGTGACTCCCCGGCTGCGCCCCCAGGTGAGGCGGCCGCGGGGTTGGGGGTCCGAGGGACGATTTAGGATCTTTTGGGGAGTCCTCATCGATCCTCGAGGCCCGGGGCTTCCCTGGGGGGTGGGCTCTTTCCTTTCTCTGGAAAATGTGCTGAGAAAACGCGGAGGCGAAGAAAAGTTATTCTTTGGCGTTCCGCTACCTCCGTAGCTTTACCCTGCAGCAGGGGTCGGATGTAGTGGTTTGGCCCCTGCAGGCATACTTTGAAATAGGACGTTGCTGTTATTTTTATATGCGTGATGCACTTTGTGGCATATACACGGTTTTCTCTTTAGTGGCAGCCCCTTGGTGCTTACCAAATGCCCCCTTGGTGTCGGACACGAGCGGTAGCCTTTGCTTTGATTATGCACGGAATTCGTGTAGTGATCTTGATGACAGATAAACGGTTCTATTTTATGGAAGAGGGAGCAGAGTCTAAATTAGTTTGACACTCCTAGCGTGGCAGAGCTCGTTAATGACGTGGCTGGGATTTGAACTTGAGCGGGTGCAATGTTACGGTATTTGGCATCTACTGTCGATACGGCCCGCGCAGCAGCTGTTGACCCAGGCCTGCCACCAGCTCTCCTTGGTGAGAGACAGCTGTTTCTTGCTGACAGCTAACTGGTTCTTCTAAGACTCAGAAAGATGGATCCGGATGTTTACAGCCTTTCTTGGTTCCACATAACTTCCCAACTTACAGGTTGTGGGTTAGTCTCACAGTGGTGGGTGTGCTTGGGCTCTGACAGTCTGTTCCTAGGATGACGGAGTGGGAGACAGCTGCACCTGCAGTGGCGGAGACCCCTGACATCAAGCTCTTTGGGAAATGGAGCACCGATGATGTGCAGATCAATGACATTTCCTTGCAGGTGAGGGGGCTGTGTGGTGGTTGTGCTACCCAGTTGGGTTTTGGGGCACACACGGATTCTTTCAGGAGGGGTCCCTGGAAACTTGTAGCTGTAAAGTTGAAAACCTGACAGGTAAAGGAGGGCTCCCTGGACCATCACACCTACATGTCCATTTTTTCCTTGTGTTCTTTTCATCTGTACACAAGATGGTTCCTTTCTCAGAGGTCACATCACATCCCACAGAGTTTTTGTGTGGGTGTTTTGGGGTTGTTTGTTTTTGGATCATTATTTTGCATGTGAAAATCCAGTTGTCCCAACGCTATTTGGTTTTTGTTTTTAGAGTTTTGTGCATTTTACTTAGCAAATTTAGGTTATAAGTTGTCTTAAGTTAAATCTTTTATACATTATAATAAGTTTGTCTGAATGCCACCATATGTTGAAAAGAATATTTCCCCTATTGAATGGTTTTAGTATCGTTGAAAATAAGTTGAGCCTAGCTATATGATATGGGTTTATTTTTGGACTCAATTCTTTTCTGTTCTGTAAATCTATCCTTAAGCCAGTACCACACTGTCTTGATCATTGTAGTTTTGTAGTAGGTTTTGAAGTCAGGAAGTCAGTGGGAGTCCTCCCAGTTTGTCTTAACCCCTATATTGTTTTACGCTGGGCCTCATTAGGACTTTTGTGGGCCTTTTGTTAAAAAGAAATTATATTTTGTAATTTCATTGGTATAAAGGCAAATACGGTTTGGATTGTTTTTATTCCTTTTTCATTGTAAAAGAAACGAAAACATTTTTTGTTGTTTCTATACATATCATGGAATCTGGGCACTGTGCCTCATGGAGGATTCGGTCCTGTTTTTCACCCCGGATATTTTGTAGTTCTGTTTTCCTTCATTTCTTTGTTCTGCAAGGGCTAGATAGCAAATATTTTAGTCTTTGTGGGTCATATGTGGTAGATATGTGTTGCGAGTGTAAGTGATGGAATGATCTTTGGGTGTATTTCATAGCGGAACAATTGACAATAGTCGTCTTCATGTACATGTAGTTCCTCTGATTCCAACACCCCTGAACGTTTTGGTGTTTTCTAGACATTTTCTTTAGAAATGATACATGTGTATATAGGAGAGATTGACGAATAATTGTGTGTGTGTTTAGAGAGAGTGGGGAAGGTGGTAGAGAGAGGGAGACAGAATCCAAAGCAGACTCCAGGCTCTGAGCTGTCAGCACAGAGCCCGACACGGGCTCCGACTGGTGAACCATGAGTTCGTGACCTGAGCTGACGTAGGATGCTTAACTGACTGAGCCACCCAGGTGCCCCAAATAATTGTTTTAAAACAGTAGTTCTCTGGAGTGATTTCTCCCCACCTCTTTTAGGAGACAGATGACAATGTTGTCTTACATTTTTGGGTGTTGAAACTGAGAAGGGTGTTACTAGCATAGTGGATGCTGCTAAACATCCTGCAGTGTGTGGGGCAGCCTTTACACAAAGAATGTTCTGATTTAAAATGTCTATGCTGCAAAGTTTGCGGAGCACTTTATTTAATGTTTACTTTTATATTTGGGAGAGACAGAGTGCAAGTGGGGCAGGGGCTGAGAGAGAGGGAGACACAGAATTCGAAGTGGTCTCCAGGCTCCGAGCTGTCAGCACAGAGCCCAGCATGGGGCTCAAACTCACGAACCATGAGATCATGACCTGAGCTGAAATCAGAAGCTTAACCGACCGAGTCACCCAGGCACCCCAAGGAGCACCTTAAAATGAGATCATGAGGGGCACCTGGATAGCTCAGTCGGTTAGGTGTCTGACTTCGGCTCAGGTCATGATCTCACAGTTTGTGAGTTCGAGCCCCACATTGGGCTCCGTGCTGTCAGCTCAGAGCCTGGAGCCTGTTTCAGATTCTGTGTCTCCTTCTCTCTCTGCCCCTCCCCCACTTGTGCTCTGTCTCAAAAATTAATAAATGTAAAAAAAAATTTTTTTTTTAATGAGGTCATGAGCTGTAATCTTGGTTTTCCATCTTCCTTCCTCCTATTATAAGGGAAACACTCTTTTTAGTAACTTGGTAAAGTTACTTTTTGGGGATTTATTGTTTTGTGGCACACAGGCCTCACAGTCAAGCCCCCAGAGGTGGTGCTCAGTCCTTCTGGTTCCTGGCCTTCCTGCTCCTGACCATGATCCCTCCATCCTCTCTCCCTGCTGCCCTAGGATTACATTGCGGTGAAGGAGAAGTATGCCAAGTATCTGCCCCACAGTGCAGGACGCTACGCGGCCAAGCGCTTCCGCAAGGCACAGTGCCCCATTGTGGAGCGCCTCACCAACTCAATGATGATGCATGGTCGTAACAATGGCAAGAAGCTCATGACCGTGCGCATTGTTAAGCATGCCTTCGAGATCATCCATCTGCTCACTGGTGAGGTAGGGCTCTGAGGCCTGATGAGGCAGAGAGTGCCCTTAGTACACCATAAGCCCAACAGCTACCCCATGACGAACATGCCGGGGTCTGCCAAGTTTTAGGAGTGAGGACACCGGGGAGGGACCTAGGTTGGGTGTCAGGTTCATGGCTGCCTTCTCTTAGAACCCCCTGCAGGTCTTGGTGAATGCGATTATTAACAGCGGTCCCCGGGAGGACTCAACCCGCATTGGACGAGCTGGAACAGTGAGGCGTCAGGCTGTCGACGTGTCCCCCCTGCGCCGTGTGAATCAGGTGGGCCTGGGGCTTTAGGCACATATGGATTGATGGGAACACCACTGGGCTCCGGTGTGGTTCTGCCTGGGGCAGATTGGCAAGTGGGAAGGTTTGTCCTGCCTGTGTGTTTTACTCAAAGTGGCCTTTCCTCCAGGAAGCCTTCCTGCATTTCCATCCCTCTGATGGCAGATTCTAGCTCTGGCCCCTTCCCTGAGCAACAGTTGCCTGAGGCACAGTTTCATTTGAGTGTATTTTTACATACCATGTGTGGGTATATATTTTTTCACAGACCATTTGAGAATCAGTTGCAGGCATTGTAAACATTTTCCCCTTAACACTTCAGTGGATGTCTCCTAGGAACAAGGATATTTTGTCCCCGCCGTCATCCTCAAGGAGTTTAACAGTGGTAGAATTATCTGATCATCCCATCACTGCAGCTGTCCCTAGCGTACCTTACAGTTGTCTGTTTACTTTCTTTTTTTAAATGTTTATTTTTTAATGTTCGTGTATTTTAATTTTTTTTTAATGTTTATTTTAGAGCATGCATGAGTCAGCGGCGGGGGAGGGGTGGGGGGAGCAGGGGGCAGTGCAGACAGAGGAGACAGAATCTGAAGCAGGCTCCAGGCTCTGAGCTGTCAGTACAGAGCCCTTTGTGGAGCTTAACTCACAAACTGAGGTAATGACCTGAGCCAAAGTCGGATGCCTGAGCCACCCAGGTGACCCTAATGTTTATTTTAGAGAGAGATCGGGGAGAAAGGGGCAGAGAGGGGTACAGAGGGTTGGAAACTGGCTCTGTGCTGACAGCAGAGAGCCTGATGCAGGGCTCTAATTCACAAACTGTGACAACATAGCCTGAGCTGAAGTTGGACGTTTACCCAACTGAGCCACCCAGGTGCCTGTCTTAATGTTTCTTTGTTTTTGTGAGAGTACGTGCACGAGTGGGGGAGGAGCAGAGAAGGGGAGACAGGATCCCAAGCTGGGCTCTGCGCTGATAGCAGAAAGCCCATTGTGGGGCTTGTATTCATGAACTGTGAGCCGAAGTCAGATGCTTATCCAGCTGAGCCACCCAGGTGCCCCTATAATAGCTGTCCATTTTTAATCGGAGGTCCAGGTCAAGAGCACACACTGCATTGCATTTCCCTGGGGTGGTGGGTTTCAAATGTCCTGTAATCAGGAGCTTTTGTGTCTACGCTTGTTTTTGTGGCCCTTGGTCTGATCCCAGATAGGCAGCAGGCCACCTGGGCAGCCTGTGAGCTCCTGCTGTGTCTTGACTCAGTGGGCCAGTGGATGGCAACATGGTAACTGACATTTGTTAGGATCACAGAGTACTGGAGGACAGTGGTCCTGTCTGCTTTGGGGCACCCCTGCCCCCAGGCTTAACTGACCCTCATGCTCCCTAGGCCATCTGGCTGCTGTGCACAGGTGCCCGTGAGGCCGCCTTCCGGAACATCAAGACCATTGCTGAGTGCCTAGCAGATGAGCTCATCAATGCAGCCAAGGTGAGTGAGGACACTGGGGTGGGGGGTCAGTTCAAGAAAAGGCTCTTCCAACATTCCAAACTAACCATCTACTTCCTTGCAGGGCTCTTCCAATTCCTATGCTATCAAGAAGAAGGATGAGCTGGAACGTGTGGCCAAGTCCAACCGTTGATCTCCTGGCTATGGCTCCCAATAAATCTGTCTGCTCTTGGGGCAGCCTCACCCACCTGTGCCAGTGTCTGTCCTTGTGTGGCTCCAGGAACTGGAGTGGGGATGGCAGTGTTCTGAGGAGCTGCCCACACTTCTGGCATGTGTTTTGGTCTGTGGGAACCTGGGATCACCAGGGAAATATTCTGTCCAGGAAGCACCACTGACTCAGGACCATGGCACCCCGGGGTGCAAGCCTGGCCACCTGGAGTGTTCCATGGATGTTGGAAACGAGACGGGTGGGGTTGTCCTGGCAGAGATGTCACTCTAGTCTGGGGAGGGGCTTGGTGGTTGTCCATGATATCTGGGTGGCTGCCCACCATCCTGAGAGGCATGTTCCCTGGAAGGAGCTCCAGGGAGAGGAATCCAAGGCCACAACCGTTTCCATCCCCTGTCTGCTTGTTTGAAAGGGGCCAGCTCTGTCTGGTCCACTGTTGTGTCTGCCCACCTTCCACCCCGGGACTCCAGAGGTTCCTTGGTTCTGGCCAGGTTCCCCCAGGGGTTCCAGGCTGCCTCCCCAGTCATTTTGGGTGGTCAACACTGCAACCCAATCCTGGGCATCCTGTAGAGCCACTGCCACACTAGGCTTCTGATTGTACTAGGTGGCTGGGAAGTGGGTTCCTGAGGTGTTGAAGGCTTGGTTGCAGGGGTGTGGGGTGTTGGGGGGGGGGATTATTGCCCACCCACGAGGCCAGACTCTCCCTGCCCTGTCAGTCTGCTATCCCTCACC